TTTTGAAATCTCACTACCGCCAATACCAGAGTTTGAAAATAAAAGTTGAAATTTTATATTCTCATTTTGGATTTTCAAATCTCACTTTTTATTTTTTTCATGAATCTCACTACCTGAGAACTTGACACTATATACTTTTATTTTATAAAACTGGGGCATTTTATACCTACAGTGGGTACCCCGGGGGTGACATTGACAAAAAAGAGTATGGATTTTTTTTAAATTCCAAGTGCAATCCCGGGCATTGATAAAATCATGATTTCAAGCACGGGTAAACGGCGGGATTAACTATGAATAACCTTGGCAACGCCGGGCAATTCAGAAAGTATAGAGGCAATGCATCACACATTACTATGGGTTTCCGGCAAAAGGGAAAAATCCTTTTGCGAAAATTATTAATAGTAGAAGTTTTTACACTTTTTTATTTGATTTTGGAAAACGGATGGGAGAAAATATTGTCTTCCTTGTTATATTTGACCTCATATATATAAATTATGTGTAATAATATTCCTCTTATTATAATTGTATTTATCAGATAACAAACTGGTCTGTTTCTCTAAACCAAATCATCATAAATTATATAAAACAAAAAAATCCTTCTCGTAATATGGTAAAATTGTATATATAAAATTGTATATGTAAAATTGTATATATAAAATTAAAGATTGTATGCAAAAAAAATAAGTTACGATACATTATAATGCTGCATAGCGATTTTTTTTAACTTTCTACATAAATCTCAAAAACTTATAATTGGCGGTGCAATGTGCAATGTTCAATGTGTATACTGCAAGGTAAAATGTTTTGAAAACAAAAGTGGTAACACAAGACGCAGTTTTAGTTTTCGTGAACAGTTTTTTTTTCATTTCATAAAATAAAAACAAAATTCAATTATAGTATTAAATGTTGTTGTCATTTACATAATTTTACAAAAATGTCATCTTCGATCACAACCATTATATTGGATGATATTATTTTCACTGATTGATTGCTTTTCTTTCAAAGAGTCAAAAATATCTTTTATTTGAATTTTTATCATTTTTCTTTAATCACTGAGGATTGGTAGAATTTGAGAAAGAGATGATAATTGTGATTAGTGAACTGCATGCCGAGGCACCGGCCTTCATTTTTCTTCGTTTTGTCCTCCTGTTCTAGAATTAAATAATTCATGATTAATATATATATACTATTATTATACAAAAACCATAGTTAATATTACAGTGCTTAGGACCCGGATCAGGATCCGTTTGGTCCGCAGGATTTTGGAAAAATTTCAACCAAAAACTTAAAAACACTTTTTCACTCACAAAACCCAACTGCTGAAAAAAAAATTATAAAAGTTTTCTGATCTCTGATTGGTTCAATAAGATTTAGCATAAAAATAAGCAAAAAAATAAGAGAAAAAATAGTTTGACAATTCTGCTTTGTTAAAAAATTCAGTACATCTTAATGAAATGTTCATGACCTGGATCCGGATCCAGATCCATTTTTTTCCAGAGCGGATCCAGGATAGGGATCCGGGATCCGGATCCAGGATCCGGATCTGCATCAAAATCAAATGGATCCTATGCACTTGTTAATAATAGTGGTTGCAAAAAAAAAATAAACTTTTGATTTAAAGTCATCATTGCTTTTGTTATGGTTTTGATTTATGTGTATATAAATATATTATGATAGTTTAAACACAACAAAAACCTACTATAAACAAAATGTCACTTTAGACAACATTTAACTTTTTACCAATTGTTAACTTAAGCTGACCAAATTTTCCATTTAGACACAATTCTGTCTTAGACCAAATGTTACTTATGACCAAATGTTACCGAAGATTAAATATTACCTAATATTAAATGTTACCATAAGACCAAAACTTCCTTCAAATGAAATATTACTTTTGACGAAATGTTACAAATACTCATAAATGAGACAAATTGTACACAATTTTTACTCCTTCCTTTGCACAGTCTTACCATAGTTTAAAAGATTATATTGCACTTCTTCTCTTATAGATTTGTGAACGTGTCTCTAAACATATAAATCATAATCAAAAATAGTTTTTAGGAATGGAGTCTTTGCCACAAATTCAGTTTTTGTAAAACCTATATCTTTGCAACCTTATGATGTAAACCTTTGGTATTTCAAACTTCCATTATTTGATCTAACAGAATTCTTAGTTTGAAATATTAAAGGTCTACGACGTTGGATTGCAACGATATTGAAATTAGAAAATCAGAGTTTGTGGCAAAAAATTAGGATGCAAAACGTAATAAAGTAATAAAGTAACTAAACTAAGATATAAACCACAATTGTTAAGAAAATGTTCATAGAAGTAAAGAGTTATGAATTACTTATAGTGTTCGAAATACTGATTTTCAGATTTGATTATTAAACGTTAAAAAGTTGGAACTATATAAATTTAACTATTTATGTTATTAAGATTTTTTTTAAACTTACCCATTAGAAACCTTGTTTACGCTATACCCATTATTCACCTCCCCTTTGTACATAGCTTTCCTAGAAATTATAACAATAATATATAATACTAATAATAAAAATAATAATATTAATAATAATAATAATAATAATAATAATAAATTAATTTACCTTCGTCTCACTAGTCGGTCCCCTTTCTCAATATATTCATATGAGGATTTATCTCCATCCTTATTATGTGCTCTAAAAATATGCATTAAATTAAGGAACTGAATCTTTGCCAAAAACTCAAATTTTAAACTAAGATTATTTTATTCAACAACCCTTTAATATTTCAAACTAAGATTATTTTATCTAACAAACCTTTAATATTTCCAAATAAGATTATTTTATCTAATAAACCTTTAATATTTCAAACTAAGATTATTTTATCTAACAAACCTTTAATATTTCAAACTAAGATTATTTTATCTAACAAACCTTTAATATTTCCAACTAAGATTATTTTATCTAACAAATCTTTAATATTTCCAACTAAGATTATTTTATCTAACAAACCTTTAATATTTCCAACTAAGATTATTTTATCTAACAAACCTTTAATATTTCCAACTAAGATTATTTTATCTAACAGAATTCATATTTTGGAATATGACCATGGGTTCCAAAAATAAACAGATTAGAAAATCAGAGTTAAACAAGCTGTTAAACAGCATGGATGCACAAAAGTCAAGAGAAGCTGTCAATTAAAAAAGCTTCTCTTTAATTACTTTTAAACTTTGAATTCTATAAAAGCTTGTCAACAATCAAAATAAAACTCAAATAAAAGATTCGTCTTCTTTGTATTGATATAATCGACTGTCTCTATAAGTTAAAGCACCATCTTCCACTTTCCAACTTTTTTAGTGTTAAAATTGGACTGTCGCTGTAATTGACCTTTCATTTAAAGAGGTCGAGCAATGTAGGATTCACAACGGTACCCTTTAAACCTTTTTATGATTAAATATAAATATGAATGATATCGTCGTTTTTGAATCGAACAAAAATAGAAGCTCCTTTGAAATTACGCCTTGTAAAGGGAGTGTTCGTGAAAAATTAAAGGGGGTATAGGCTTACGTCGAAATATTATCGATGGTGATGGCACTACTGATCTTACTTCTATCTGTTGCGTCAAAAGGAAAAAATTGTTAAAACGACTCATACCATACAAAATCAGACAGTTGCAACATTCGAATCGGATCATAAAAAAATTAATTTAATTCGTAACAAAATATTTAGATATTACAACCTTTCATCATCGATAATTTTTCGACGCAATCGTATATAGTTGATACTTCAATATATTTTCCATTCATTTGATATAAGGTGTCTCTGCTCTCGATGCACTTAATGATTCCACGCGGCAGAGACACCTAGCGGAAAAATCGTCTTTTTTGTTGACATACCTGATAGCATAACTTCTCCATTGTATTGTTGGCTTAAAGTTTGTCGTTAGAAACCTCTTTATTCCCTGAACAAAATAATTCAGAAATTTTATTCGCGCCAATTCTATTCTAACAAAGAGTTTAAATTTGTATGCAAATTAAATTGTGCTAAGGCTACCCGGAGATGGGAATTTAAGATTTTATGTCTGGCTGAATTGATTACTGGTTGTGATTCAAGCTTAGAAATACTAATAAAAGATTCTGCAGTTCTTTGACAATCTAAGTTCCTCCATTATTAAAAGCGAGGCTGGACCAATAGAAAATTTGTACTCTAGATTTTAGGCAAACGCAAAATTCTGTTATACACAATGAACGTTTACATTTAATTCCGTACGGTCTTCCATACCACAGCATTTGAGTCTTCTGGCAGTTATTACGTTTTTAAATAATAAATTTAGTGCATTGCAATTGTGATTTCAAAAAATCTAGCGACGTCTTGCAAAATATAAATTTAAAGAACTTTATAATTAAGTTTGAATTGAAATAATAACGATTCCTTCTAACGAAAACTGCTAAACTTATTTTCCCCAAAACAAATTTAATCTTTCCTCTAAAAATAACTTGTTTTTGAAACATTATGCACAATAAAATGATGCACTGTCCATGACCTACTCTTTAAGTTCAAAAGGCGCCCATAATCGAAAATTTTCACTATCAAACGAGAAAATTGCATAATAGATGTTTTTTTTGTGGAAATCGGTATTGCTGAGGTAGTGATCTAGTTAACTTTGTGATTTTCTCATATTTTCTTATTTTTTAGACTACCCTAAACATTTTGTCTGGATGCCCACAATGCGTAAAATGCTGTAAAATGTTTTGTATAATGTAAAGCAGTTTATAAACTGAACTCACAATTAATTGATCTTTGATAAACTTATATAGCTTCTTTAAAGGAATGATCTTTCACGATTAACGATTAACGATTAACGATTAACGATTAACGATTAACGATTAACTGCCGGAAAACTCAAATGCATGGATCTGACTGTTCGGTTGTGGCTCATGGTTACCGGAAGACAAAAAAGAAAATATGTGGCATGGAATGGGAAAATCTAGTGGCTTATAGCCGCCTGCCTTCCCTCTGCTCCTGCTCCTGCGACTAAGGGGGAAGGAATTTCAAGTTTCAGCCCAAGTCTAGTTGCGTGTGTGAAACAACTAGTATACATTCGTACAGAAACCGAAACTGATTTAAATATGTATTACATAATTTGGTGAATTCTAAAGTACAATTTTTCTATTGGCCTTACCTAACCTTTATAAAAAGGAGGTCAGTAAAATGTTTAGAAAATTGATTGAACTACAGTTGTTGGGAATAATATCAATACTATGAAGACGACGTTCAATTTAAATTTTGATTTATGTCAAGCTGCTAAATAGCATGGATACACAGAAACATAGAAGTCAAGAGCGTTCAATCAAAAAAGCTGCTCTTTGATTACTTGCAAACTTGTAATTCGAAAAAAACTTGTTAACAATTAGAATTTAAGTAAAAAGTCGTCTTTATTGTAGCGATATTTAATAAATAATGTTTCAGTTATACAACTTTTTATGGTTTTTACGATTTTGTGACTTAAATCATAAATAATGGAGATAAGTAGCGTAGAAATAAACGGATAAAAAACATAAAATCAATATCATTTTTTAAGATGGCTTATTCAGATTAAAAAAAAAACTAATAAAAGTATGGTTGATTAGTTAAAATATCAATACACATTTAAACGAATAATGAGGATGGATAAAAATAGGATGAATAAATAAATTAATGAATGAAAATAACCTGTACTGATGTATCCCTATCCCCCTGTATCCATGAGTTTACAAGGGTTAACATCATCATACAAGGCACAGCAGATATACAGACCATTGCCATAAACCATCCAATACCATTGGCCCATTCTACAATCAAATTGATTAATTTCTTGATTAAGCCTTATGCTCAGATTAGAACTCTATTTGTAACTGGATAAATATACTCCCTTTGTACCCAGATAAGTAAAACATTTGTGGCAAAGGGGTAAGGGGTTCATATGTAGCCCAGGAGTAGCAGAGAATAAAAATTTATACCTGGATAGATATATTCCCCTGAGGTAAGGGGTTCATATGTAGCCCAGGAGTAGCAGAGAATAACAATTTATACCTGGATAGATATATTCCCCTGAGGTAAGGGGTTCATATGTAGCCCAGGAGTAGCAGAGAATAACAATTTAAATACCTGGATAAATATATTCCCCTGAGGTAAGGGGTTCGTATGTAGCCCAGGAGTAGCAGAGGATAACAATCTATACCTGGATAAATATATTCCCCTGAGGTAAGGGGTTCATATGTAGCCCAAGAGTAGCAGAGAATAACAATCTATACCTGGATAGATATATTCCCCTGAGGTAAGGGGTTCATATGTAGCCCAGGAGCAGCAGAGAATAACAATTTATACCTGGATAGATATATTCTCCTGAGGTAAGGGGTTCATATGTAGCCCAGGAGTAGCAGAGAATAACAATAATGACCAAGGGAGACAGGAAACAATAGAAGAATCCCAGGAACGGTTTAGCTTTTTGTAACCATGATGCCCTTTAACAATGTATGTAAATAAATATATTTTTTTCTATAAGAAGACGACTTTCACACTTAATTTATGCCTTTAAAGAGTTCAACGAACCTATACACAGCAATTGTGCAGTATAAACTGACCTATTTAACTTAATAAGTGATTTAGTAAGTTACTATATATTTGATTTGTAAAAACATTTAATAAACTTGAGTAGTAAGATGTAATGTCGTCTTCCTATTCCACGGTTTACTGGTTCTCACTCTATAGGTTTTGGAATATGAAAGAAGCATCTCTTTAAAACAGCATGAATTGCATGTGAGTGTGACCATATCAGATTCATAATTGGAAGATTTCATCTGGTTTTTTCACTTGAACAGTTTTTAATTCTGACTAATTTTTTTTATTTCTGAAGCAAAAAGATTTTAATCGCACTATTGTGATCTGGACATGCCACTTTCTAAATAAAGGGACGGACATAGTTTTCAGGAAAATATTGGTTTGAAGGTGTCCTAACAGAGTCTGAGATGTTTTTTTACATGACAAAATCCGATTTTCAATAAGATTGCTTTTGTAACATGTTGCGAAATTGTTTATCTGACCAATGAGATTTACCAAAACAATTTTTCAAAATGAGATTTACCAAAACAATTTTTTAAGATTTACCTAAACAATTTTTCAAAATGAGATTTACCAAATTTTTCAAAATGAGATTTACCAAAACAATTTTTCAAAATGAGATTTACCAAAACAATTTTTCAAAATGAGATTTACCAAAACAATTTTTCAAAATGAGATTTACCAAACAATTTTTCAAAATTAGATTTACCAAAACAATTTTTCTAAATGAGATTTACCAAAACAATTTTTCAAAATGAGATTTACCAAAACAATTTTTCAATATGAGATTTACCAAAACAATTTTTCAAAATAAGATTTACCAAAACAATTTTTCTAAATGAGATTTACCAAAACAATTTTTTTAGACAAAATTTATCATTCATCAACATTTAAAGAAATGAGCTAAATTAAGTTGAATTTGGCTCCGGTGCTCCAACAAGTTTTGTTAGATGAAAATTTGACATCTCTTAGAGTAAAGTCACTATAAATCCCGTCTACTTACATTCCCTGGAGATTATTTAATTCAATATGGTTCAGTTACAGTTTAAAAATTTGATAAAAAAACATTTGCGCATGAATTTACTCACCCTGTCATCTCCACAAGGTCCTCAATGTATTGATTGAACCCGTAGACGTAGGAGATGATCATGAGCTCTGCAAACCCAATGAACAGGTAGGGCCAGGTAGCAGCGTAGTAATCCAACAGATTCAGTACATACCTTATAAGGGAGAGACAGGGTGTCCCACGAAACATGACAGTAGGTGAATAGTTTAGAATGTCTTCTTCAATAGTTTGTTAAGTTGATTGATACCAAGACAGTAATAAAAATATTATATGGGAGTCATATTATAGTAAACTTATTTCAAAGTTTTAAAATATATTTGAGCAAAAGAATCTTTTAACGAAATAAACTGCAAAAAAACCTTTAATATCATAATACAGTATATCGTATATGTAAGACGACATAAAAACTATTTATCAACTGTCATGTTTCTTGGGACACCCTGTAGTTGAACTGAGTGTGCAGTATATATATCGACAAATTTTAGCATTCATTTGATAACAATGAGAAGATTTTACGGTTTATAAGAGGCTATTCGTTTGTCAAATTTCGCCAGAAAAGATGGTCCGCAGGAGAAATTTTTTTTTAAAATTTATTTAATAATCTTTTAAATAAACAATTGAAAGAAAATCATGCTTTCATATTTTGCCAAAGTCTTCATTTTGCAGGCTTACAAATTCAAAATAGTTTACAACACTTCCCGTTTTGATATTTGTTGTGAATGATTAAAATAAGCAATCCAAATAAAATGGCGCGAAGCACCCTGAATTAAACCTACCCTCCTCCAGGACAAGTTAGGGGAAGGCCCCGGAATTAAACCTTCCCTCCTCCAGGACAAGTGAGGGGAAGCACCCTGAATTTAACCTACCCTCCTCTAGGACAAGTGAGGGGAAGCACCCTGAATTTAACCTACCCTCTTCCAGGACAAGTAAGGGGAATAAACCTACCCTCCTCCAGGACAAGTAAGGGGAAGCACCCTTAATTAAACCTACCCTCCTCCAGGACAAGTGAGGGGAATAAACCTACCCTCCTCCAGGACAAGTAAGGGGAATAAACCTACCCTCCTCCAGGGGAATAAACCTACCCTCCTCCAGGACAAGTAAGGGGAAGCCCCACTAGGAATCCAACTATACAGATTCCAGCAACAATATAAAGTTTCCATTTTCTCCAACTAAACAAAATAGTTTTAAAATAAATATTAAAATATAATTTTATTTTTCCAGGCTCAAGTTGATACAAAGAGTGTTATGTCATAAATATTGTTTAATAGATCCTATCGCAACTCAACCTTTTTTATCAAATTGCTTTTACTTTCTTAAGTCAGTTTTTTCTTCTTGTTTTGGGTAAGTTTCCTAACATAATATTAATTCAGAAATTTGCCATTTCATTGGAAGTTTAATTCCAAAGATCGCTTTCTCAGTGATAAAAAAAACTTTTTGTTTTGAAAACCATTAAACAAATTTCAATAAAAATAAAAAAGGAAAAAACTGACAAAAAAAAGAAATGTCAAATATTCATCTGACAAAATTTGTTAAAGCACCAGCCAAATTCAACTTATAGCACAAGTCGTCAAATTAAATTATACAAAATAAAAAAAAAAATATTGCAACAAATTTTGTTAGATGAAAAGTTGACATTTCTTAGAGTGCATTATCATTTTTGATTCAATCCTTTGATTCTGTTTTCTTTGACAATTACCTTGGCATGAAGTCTAGTATTCCTGTCAATATAGTTTCTACAATAGCAAACTGGGAATCAAGACCTAAATATATTTTAATTAAATTTGTCAAACAGAATACTAAAATAATCAAATATTTTTAAAATATAAATTCTTTATTTAATAACCGATTTTTGAAAACTGAACACTCAAAAAATCAAATGAGAGAAATTTTTTAACCAAAACGCTTAATAATAAGATAAAAAACAACGAACTCAAATTTTCCAATCTTTATATCTTTTCAACCTGATGGTGTAATCCTTTGATGTTTCAAACTTAGATTTTTTTGACCTAACAAAATTAATAGTTTTCAATATGAAAGGTCTACGACATCGGGTTGCAAATATATAGGGATTTAAAAATTAGAGTTTGTGCCAACAAGTCAGTTCCTTTGGGTCACATTTCATTATTTTTATCTATGCTTTTTGTGTTGGTTTATCGGTTTGTATTAAAAAAAGGTTAAAACCATTTGGGATCAAACTTTCTGTGAGATGAGGAAAAAAATGTCACTTCAAACTTGGGTTTCAAGCGAAAGAAAACTTTTGGGAAAAAATGCTAAATTTTTGTTCGTATTTTTTTCGCGAAATTTTCGCATTTCTTATATCGCGAAAATTTTTGCATTTTGTGCAAGCAAACAAAATGCGAAAAAATGCAAAATTTTCGCGAAAATTACAAAATTTTCTCGAAACTATTTATTCTTTTCGCTAAAAACCCTACTTCAAACAAAAGTTTTCTGAAAAATAAGAAAATTCTCAATAAATAAATAAATAAATAAATAAATTCAATAAACGGGACAATTTGCGATTTGTTTTTAGTTGCATTTGTAAAATATATGCATTGCGGGGAACGAAGACATATTATCACACGCGAAGCACGAAAAAAGATAAATGTTTTAATCTTAATATTCGTTACCAAGTGTGAACAGCATAAGAAAGAAGAGAATTGCCCACAGGGTTGGTAGAGGGAGTCTTGTTACAAGATCAGGGTAGGCAATAAACGCTAATCCAGGGCCATCTCTAAACAATACAAATATAAACACAAAAAAATTGATATTTAGATTGTCGTGTTTGTTTTGGTGAACTGAACGCAAAGTTCTCCCTAATCAAAACTGAACTGAACGCAAAGTTGTGCTAAGATACAATAGTTATGCCTTATTAAAAAACTATGGTATTTAAACGAACATTACGTTTTTTTTGAACTTTAGAAAAACAATGTCGTTTATTAATTTTTCTACGTCGTTCACAAAACCACAAAATATCCGCTGCACTTGATCATGAATAAGCTTGATTGGCGGAATTACAAAAATCAATTCTTTGTCTCAAACTTTTCATGATATACTGAAAAATCTCAAACATATTAAAAGTGCTTCTAATATTTGTATTATTTAATCAAACTTACTTGACCACATCTTCTACATTTAGTCCAAGTTCTAGTGCCATAAACCCTAGAATCAAGAAGTAGTTTGGCACTGCAGATAGACTGGAAATCGATTATAGTAGCACTTTAATAAGGTGAAGTAGCAGCGAACCCTTTATTTTAAAAAAAGAAAAACTTCTAATGGCGTCTTATTTATTATACCATTTTGTCGATTGTTTCTTAAATACTTTGATAATCTTCAAATTATCTGGTAAAAACAAGCCTAAGACAGAAAGACCTAAAGAGAGAAAGACCTTAAGACAGAAAGACCTTAAGACAGAAAGACCTTAAGACAGAAAGACCTTAAGACAGAAAGACTTTAAGACAGAAAGACCTTAAGACAGAAATACCTTAAGACAGAAATACCTTAAGACAGAAAGACCTTAAGACATAAAGACCTTAAGACAGAAAGACTTTAAGACAGAAAGACTTTAAGACAGAAAGACCTTAAGACAAAAAGACAGTTTTTCCAGATATATTTGTTTAACGAAAGAATGCCTAATTGTACTGATTTGGTTTGCTCTGCATAGCAAAGTGTTATAACATTCAATTATAAATTTTGCAAAACTTCGATTTTTGGAGCCTCATCATAGCAAAAAAATAATCCAAAGACAATACCCAACATTTACTGACATGATATGGAAAATTGTTTTTTGTGGACAAATTTTTTCAATATTAAGAAGAAGTCGAATTACGTAGATTAAGTTAATGCAGGTTTAAGTTCAAGTGACGTGGTTCATCTGAGACCCCATACAGATGTCGTCGTAAATATTAATACACTGAAGACGACTTTCGATTTAAATTTTGATTTCTAACAGCATAGATTAACACAAACATGGAAGCAAAGTAATTAACGAATCAAATAACCATTTCTTTTTGTTGACTTGTAAACTTTTAATTCAAAAAAAAGCTTGTTAACAACCGAAACTTGGATAAACAAGTCATCTTCCGTGTATTGATTTAAACGCCGACTCTGTTTGATAGATTTAGCTTGTTTACTACTCCTTGCCTAGCACTGAGAAGATGGCGAACCCAGCAGTGAATGAGGTTAAACAGTTTCCTATTGTCACAATCAGAGTATCCCTGATAAACAATATACATAGATTCAGCCTGGTTCATGCTTCATTCATTTTTATACAGGGTCGACTTTCAAGTGTTGCAGAGCCTTGGGCTTTGATTTTACCGCTCTAACTAACTTTTGCTCTTCTTTAGCCCTTCTTTACATTTTAGCACTGTAAATCACTTGTTTTAACTTTGGCTTTAAAGATGCAATTGGCAAAATTTTCATCGATTTTCTCGTGTTATTATTTCGTATTATTAAGAAATAAATTATAGCTGGTTACCTAATTAAGTATATTTTTAAGAATGATTTATAGCAGGTTTCCTAAGGATATTATTATTAAATGGATTATAGCAGGTTACCTAATTAAGTATATTTTTAAGAATGATTTATAGCACGTTTCCTAAGGATATTTTTATGGAATGGATTATAGCAGGTTACCTAATAAGTATATTTTTAAGAATGATTTATAGCAGGTTTCCTAAGGATATTTTTAAGAATGATTTATAGCAGGTTTCCTAAGGATATTTTTAAGAATGATTTATAGCAGGTTTCCTAAGGATATTTTTAAGAATGATTTATAGCAGGTTTCCTAAGGATATTTTTAAGAATGATTTATAGCAGGTTTCCTAAGGATATTTTTAAGAATGATTTATAGCAGGTTTCCTAAGGATATTTTTAAGAATGATTTATAGCAGGTTTCCTAAGGATATTTTTATGAAATGGATTATAGCAGGTTTTCTAAGGATATTTTTATGGAATGGATTATAGCAGGTTACCTAAGTATATTATTATGGAATGGATTATAGCAGGTTACCTAAGTATATTATCATGGAATGGATTATAGCAAGTTACCTATGTATACAAGTAAGCAAGTATACTATTATGGAATATATTATAGCAGGTTACCTAAGTATATTATTATGGAATAGATTATATCCGGTTACCTAAGTTTATTATTATGAAATAGATTATAGCAGGTTACCTAAGTATAATATCATGGAATAGATTATAGCAGGTTACCTAAGTATATTATTATGAAATAGATTATAGCAGGTTACCTAAGTATATTACTATGGAATAGATTATAGCCGGTTACCTAAGTTTATTATTATGAAATAGATTACAGCAGGTTACCTAAGTATAATATAATGGAATAGATTATAGCAGGTTACCTAGGTATATTATGGAGTAGATTATAGCAGGTTTTACCTAAGTATATTATAATGAAGGATTTACAGTAGGCTACCTAAGTATAATACTATAGCAGGTTACCTAAGTATATTTTTATGTAATATATTACAGCAGGTTACCTAAGTATATTATTATGGAATATATCATAGCAGGTTGCCTATGTATATTATTATGGAATGGATTATAGCAGGTTACCTAAGTATATTATTATGGAATGGATTATAGCAGGTTACCTAAGTATATTATTATGGAATATATTATAGCCGGTTACCTAAGTATATTATTATGGAATATATTATAGCAGGTTACCTAAGTATATTATTATGGAATGGATTATAGCTGGCTAGTGTAATAAGCCCTCCTCCTGCCACTGATAATGAGAAGAATATCTGTGTTGCAGCCGCCTCCCAAACCTGCAACATTTAAATAACTGGATATTAATCGTTGGTTCGTTTAGATAAAAAGTATGTTTGAACCAACTTCATCAATTTAAACTAAAATCCGTGACATTTATAGTGTTGTGATGTAGACAGAAAAACGGCACTTTCAAAAGACACATTCAATCTGAAATTATAACAGAAAAATTCAAGCCTTCTCAGATTAAAACGGTCGATACTAGGATGTTAAAGAAGAAAGTAGAACATTATAATAAATCATTTTTGCATTTCTATACTAGATGTGGGGGGGGGGGTATAATAAATTTGGAATTTGGGTAGATAATAAAAATATAAATTGTCACACTCACAACTCACAAAAAGAGCATTTTTATAAAACTTTAGGCTACATCTAAAAGATTAGAGCCTAACTACATGTAGATCTGGATACAGATAGAAGTGTATCCCCTGGTACCGGTTGGATTGATTACTTTAATATCCGCTAGTTTAGTAGGATCTGGATACAGGTAGAGGTGTATCCCCAATGGTAGGATTGATTACCTTAATATCCGCTAGTTTATCAGGATCAGGATACAGATAGAAGTGTATCCTTTGGTAGGGTTACCTTGATATCCGCTAGTTTAGCAGGATTAGGATACAGATAGAAGTGTATCATTGGTAGGATTACCTTAATATCCGCTAGTTTATCAGGATCAGGATACAGATAGAAGTGTATCCTTTGGTATGATTACCTTGATATCCGCTAGTTTAGTGGGATCTGGATACAGATAGAAGTGTATCATTGGTATGATTACCTTGATATCCACTAGTTTAGTGGGATCTGGATACATATAGAAGTGTATCATTGGTAGGATTACCTTTATATCCGCTAGTTTAGTGGGATCTGGATACAGATAGAAGTATATCCCCTGGTCTGCTCCAGGAAGTGTTACAGCTCTCCCAAGAAGGATGAAAAGTACAACGTACGGAAATGTAGCAGTTACATACACAACCTTGCCACTAGATTTTATCCCCTAAAATTATTAAAATCAATTAGTATTACGAAATGTCCATTGAATTCTTAAAAATCTAAGGTAGTAAACATGGAAATGTAAATCCACCAAACTCTAGGATATAAAATAAAATGGCGGCAGTACAAACCACCCAATATCCAAGAGGACTGATTTCTCAAAGCTATCCTACCTTAAACAAGCAGAGGAAAATGATGATCCAGGCTAAAAGTAAACTTAGCACAAGACCCCATAAAGGTTTTCCCATTTGATCAGGCTCTAATCCTTTACTTTCCTAAATACAAATTGTACAAACAAAGCTTTATTTAAAAACCAATTTCTTTCTGTGAATTACCTGCCAAACACTCCGTTTTAGATACTGATCACTACTAGTTGACCGGCGGCCTGCAGGCAGGTCAAATGGTTTTGTTATGCTGAAAACATTATTGCATCTCATTTTTGATTTAATTTTAAATTTATTTTATTTATAAGAAATTGAGTCTTTGCCACAAACTGAAGATTTCTCATCCCTATTTCTTTGCAACCTGACGATCTAAGCCTATGATATTTCAAACTTAGAATACTTGATCCAACTGAATTCGTAGTTTGAAATATCTAAGGTCTACGACATTGGGTTGCAAAGATAAAGGGTTATCACTCTAGTATGCTAAGTCCATTAGCACCTGATCCAATCAGGGTGCAGCCATATGTTTGGTGTCTATTCTGAACCAATAGAAATTGCATAGCGGTAACATCTATCTTTCTATCTATCTCATTATCCAATTAGAGATAAATCCTTATATCGTCGTTATAACAGCTAATGGTTAGAAAATCTAAATTTGTGGAAAACATTCATTTCCTTTGTATCTTTATCACATAAGTTAGATAATCTTTTTTTTACTAAACCATTGAGATCGGAACTTAAATGTCGATATTGTTAATCTTGAACTCTTGATCTCGACATCAATGATACGCTTGATCTCGATATCAATTATGTGAATCCATGAGGATAAATTCTTGATTCCAAGATTCACAACACAACTTCTGATCACTTGGCATTAGTTGTATTTTCTAATTCTTATATCTATGCAACCTGGTGGTGTTACAATGAACAATTTTCATATTTCAAACAGTTACTATTCAATCTAAAACAGATTTCATGGTTTGAAATATCAAAGGTCTACGCAATCAGGCTGCAACAATATAGGGATTAGAACATAGAGGTTTTGTTAAATAGTGAGTTGTACTAATAGTTGTCCTAATAGTTGTCCTAATAGTTGTCCTAATAGTTGTCCTAATAGTTGTCCTAACTAAAAGTTGTCCTAATAGTTGTTTTAGCTAATAATTTTTGTGCAAAACATTTAAGTTCGTGACATTTTTTTCATGACATTAATTTAGTTTATAAAATACCTGTCAATTGCGCCAGGAGTATCATCACAATATGTACTGTTAATATAAATACAGTCAACCTGATCGTCCATCAATTATTTCAAGTATTAAAGGGACTGTAAACATAATTTCAAGTAACCCTCAGTTCATAGATGAGCATTTCTGATTCCCAACAGCAACCTTAAAAGGTTTGTCTGATTAAGTTTTAATTAAAAATCCAAGTTTTTGCTTTAAAAACTCATTTTACAACTGAGGTTTCTCTAAAAAAGAGACAATTGCAACTTCCCAAAGGTTAGGTTAGGCCCTCTAAGGCGCAGCAGGCTGCAGTGGGGGCTGAGCGCTGCGACTAGAACAGGCTGGGGGCCGAGCGCTGAGGCTAGGACAGACTTGGTAAGTTGCCGCTAGGTAAATGGCACATTTGGGAAGAATTGCCACTTGGGAAAATGCCTTTGGGAAAGTACCTAACACCTTTTAATAGAGGGTCACTTAAAAGTATTACGAAGGAATAGAATATAACAGGATGTTCTTACTCTGTCTCATTGTGAATAATTAATGATTTATGGCGAATTCCTTAATGTCTGTTCCATTTTTAAGTTTCTTATCCTTTGTGTGACCATACCTAAAATAATTATAAACACTGAAAGTAAATTGTGCAAAAAAAAATTAAATAACAAACATTTTGGACTCTCATTTATATCTCCTAATTATGCCATTTTAGGTTTCTGCTTTATGAAAAAATAGTATTTTAAACGTTAAACAACGAAAATGGGAACGAAAATTTTTTTGTCTCATTCATTCCCCTGTTTAATAATTTAAAAAAAAATTATGTTTAAAATTAAATCTTATAGAAGTTTTCTTTTAAAGTTACCAATAAGTATAGTTGCTAGAAATATAGTCCATGAGCTCAGTATCGTTTGTACAGGTCCTACAAAAAGTAAAATATAATTAAATATATTTTTTTCATTTTCACACATATCAATAAAATTTGTTATGTATTTCGGGGAGATTTGTGGTAAAAAATGTAGGTTTTAGATATGTCAAAAGTTTACACCAACAGGTTAAAAAGCCAGAGAGGTTAGAAAGTTTGAGTTTGTGACAAAGACTCAATTCCTTTTATGTGGTATATCAATACGTTTACCTATATAGAAAGATCTTTCGATTGCATGTATTAAAAAACTTTCTAATTATTATTTCATTTTCTTTATAATAATTGAAAAATAAATTATTTTATCGTCATAATAGTTCTTAGATTTTGCACACTATTCTTTAAGAAGATTTGATTTAATATTCTCATGTAATTTCATTAAAGGTTTCCAACCTGTTAATATAAATTAGATCTGTAGATTCATTTCTTCTGTTCACACAATCCTTGTATGATTTAAATATCAAGAAATTAGGTTGCAAAATTGTAAGGATTAGGAAATAAGAGGTTGAGACCAGAAGTTTTTTGTTTAAGATATTTTAAAAATGCCAAAAACCATGTAAAAAAGTGTATAACTTTTTTATGTTTAACTATAGTTCACAGGATATAATAATCTGTTTAATACTTTTTTCAGAATAAAACTGTTAAATATTTCTATCAGAATAAAACTGTTAAATATTTCTATCAGAATAAAACTGATAAATATTTCTATCAGAATAAAACTGTTATATATTTCTATCAGAATAAAACTGTTAAATATTTCTATCAGAAACAAATCAACGCCAGTTTCTAAAAATTCAACCCATGTCAGTTTAGGCGTATTGAATTGATAAGGATTAGTTACTATTCAGTATTTGATTAAATTTGTTATTAACATGTTTATAGTCTTATTTTTTACAATCTTTATTGCTAGGAAAGATTTAACAAAAAGTAACTTGTTTAAAGTTTAAATTATTAGCAATATTTTTTTCCATTTTTCCTCCTTTTCTTTTAATAATAAAATGTCGCAAAAAAAATAGTTGAAACTATTTCAAAAGAGTTTCCTGATTTTAATGAATTTGAGCTGTGTCGCTGCAACATCAGCCATTAAAAAAAACCGAGGCGACATTTCTTGAGTAAAAGATAGAGTAAAGAGTAACGACGACATTTATTCAGAAGTTTTCTAGTTTTCACAGTATTCTTGTATTAAGTCTTTATGTATTAGAACCGCTGTAGTTAAAGCAGGTTAGAAAATTTACATAAATTAGTTTATTATATAATTAATCTCTATCCATAATTTGAAGGAAATATGATCACAAAAAACATTGAGATTAAGGCCATTTAAGTCAACTAAAATTGATTTGCACTCCGATGATATTCCTTTCAAAATTATTGAAGACAAATCCAAAAAAAATAGTTTTTGGGAATTTTGGGATGATGCGTTGATCTCCATCTTTGCATACCTATAGCTACCTACGGATTAATTTCATTCCTCGTCGATATTCCGTAGCAGGCATACCCTGCAGGGATAACTTAATTCTGGGATGAAGCCTTAATCCTCAAATTCAAAATTGCGCACTTTGAATATCGAGATCAAGTGTTTAAGATTAACGTTACTCAACACATTTGTTCTAACTCTGCGTGTTATTTAAAAACATGAACAATCTCTTTAAATTTGTTCTGTTTTAACACGAATTAGAATAATACAGGATTATCCACAAAGGATGAGACAACAGAGACGACTTGAGATTTAGCACAGAAAGAAACAAATTTACAATGAATATAAAGAAACAGACAGTATCAGTTCCGTACAGTCGTCTTTAAACAGACAGTATTAGTTCCGTACAGTCGTCTTTAAACAGACAGTATCAGTTCCGTACAGTCGTCTTTAAACAGACAGTATCAGTTCCGTACAGTCGTCTTTAAACAGACAGTATCAGTTCCGTACAGTCGTCTTTAAACAGACAGTAGCAGTTCCGTACAGTCGTCTTTAAACAGACAGTATTAGTTCCGTACAGTCGTCTTTAAACAGACAGTATCAGTTCCGTACAGTCGTCTTTAAACAGACAGTAGCAGTTCCGTACAGTCGTCTCTGAAGTCCTTTATCCTTTGTGGCTAACCTTGGAGTTGCCGCAAAAGAATTCCCACCGTTAATCCAATCCCTCCCCATTTAACATTTTGGAACACTTAAAAAAATAATTTTATGCAAATCATTAGATGGGCCTGAAGATACCAAGTGCAGTACAGTTAACGGTACAACTTGTGTGTTTCCATTTTACCACGGAGGCAAACAGTACAATTCGTGTACAACAAGGTAAATAAGAAAGCAGGACTATTTTTTTTGAAAAAATGTAGAAAAATGAACTTGTTTTTCTGGGACTATAAAAATACAAACATATATTTTTGCAAAAATACGAACAAAGTATTATTGAAAAAGTGAGTTTTTACAAAAGAATCAGAGTAAATTGATTTTGTTTACCTAGATATTATACAACTAGCCAGCGCTGCAAAGGTTACTAAAAGTTTCTCCCACCGTTGGCTTTGAACGATTTTACCATGAAACTAAATTTTCCCTATTAAAGCCGACCCACTCAACTCAGAGTCTCAAAAACATTTCCCTGGGTCTCCCGAGTTTCCCTATCTAAATTTGAGGCAAATCGGTCCAGGGGTTCCTGAGTTATGATCGGACAAACAAACAAACACCAAAGCATAGATTACAGGTATGTAGATATATGATCAACCATGGGCTAAATAGACTCCTGAGGCTCAATCTTAAATACTTGTGATGCCAAAGCATCTCCACCCCTATGAGCTCTATACCCCCCCTTTCCTTCTATTTTACTTTCCTTTTTTTTACAGAGAATCTGCAGTTGGAATCCCATGGTGTCGAACTGTTAAACTAGGTAAATATTTGATGTTAGGTACTTTCCCAAAGGATTTGTCCCAAGTGGCAACTTCCCAAGGGCATTTTCCCAAGTAGCAACTTCCCAAGCGGCAATTTCCCAAGTTTGTCTTAGCCGCGGTTTGCGGCCCCGTATCCCATCCTAGCCGCAGCGCTCGGCCCTCATAGCAGCCTGTGGCACCTCACAGGGCCTAACCTAAGCTTTGGGAAGTTGCCGTTTGGGAAATTTCACATTTGGGATATTGTGCCCATGGAATTTGTCACGTGGAAAGTCGCCCTTAGGAAAATGTTTTTGGGAAAGTACCTAACACCAAATATTTTTATTTAAAATGTAGATAAAGCTTAAACATAATTTGTTAACGTAAAAAAGATGCATCTTCAAAAGAAAAAAAAGTTATCAGCAGTTTACTGTAATTACTGGGCTGAGACATAAAAAAAGTGTGAAACAAATATCTCTTAATGTTGATCCCGAATATTAAAATTTAATTAAACTACGTGCTGCAAGTTAAGTTTTTACAATTTAAAAAAATATATTTTAAATTTTTTTAGTTTTTTTTTTATTAAAACTTCTCGTTTTTTCACATTCTAATCCTCTTTTTTGATCATTCAACGAGCCACAAACATTCAATGATGCAAGGTCATACAAAAATTTTGATCGGTTCGGCCGTTTTGACGTTTATTGAATACAAACAACAAAACAGATAATCGAAATTTTAAAAGATCTTTTTCTATTTTTAAAAATATTTTAGACCCTAAATTTCAAGGAGTTTTACCAGAAAGTTGGGATTATTGTACCAGGTATATATAATCAATAAAGCAGAAAATAGTTTTATAAATTAGTTTTTTTATAAAAGGTTGATAATTATTTACATCCAATTTAATTTTCTTTTGCAAAAAGGAATTTTTAATTTCCAAAAAAGTGGTAGTTTTAAGAATACGCACAACGGATGAAAACGCGCAAATTCTGCAGAGCCTAATGTTAATTTTCTTAATTTTTCCGACGTTAAATAACGAAACATATCCTGCTGGTGGCCGGAATCATGGGTCAGTAATGTGGGTCAAAAGGCAGTAAAATAAATATTGTTCCATTCTGAAACTTCTTAACACTTTTTAGCTTTTCATATTTGTGAAAAGGAATATTGTTGTAGTGCGTGTAAAGTCTTATCAACTGTATGTAAACCAGTCACAAAGGAATGTTCGTGTAACTCTCAAGTAAAGCAGGTTAAATATTATTTACAATTTTGCTTTTATAATTTGCTTTTTTATAGAAGAATCAATCTTTGCTTGAGTAATTTTCAAACCGTTTGAAATTTGATATTTAAAATAAAAATTATAAAAAATAAATAACCAAAGTTTGAAATATCAAAAAATTTACATCATCACGTTGCAAAGATATGGGGATGGGGAAATTTTGTATTGTCAATTTGATCAAAAGTTGTAATTTGTTTAAATATCCTTTCTTATGAATCTAGTTTTCCAGGTTTGTCACGAGATGGATGAAAATGGAGAAATAATCTCAACCTTCTGTGTTTACATTAACCAAGGTAGGTTTTTTTATTACCGACTTTTGACCAACATTACCAATCCAGGATTACCACGACAGAGGGACGTTAAGGTACTTTACGTCCCTCGGGGCAATTAAGTAAAATAACATTGCGCATTTTCATATCAACTACTTTTTTGGGAAATTAAACTTTTTACTAAACCACGGGTTTCCTCCGCCAATTTTGCTGCGCTCTGGATGTTTTGTACGCAAATTGGTCGTAGTTTAAATTGCACCCTGCGACCGACGGGTTTCCCGACGCTCTAGCACCCTCGTATGTAAAGCGATCTATGGGAACCCTTGGTAAGTCTAAATTCCCTCGACTAAAGAAGTAAAAAGAGAAAAAATTAATAATAAAAAAAATGTTTAGGTAGGATACAGAATGTGAATACAGGGCTCCCCGCCTGTAATTTAGAATGTCAAGACTGCCTTAATGCATATACAAGCAGAACAGGTATTAACAAGCAGTTAAATAAATTATTAACAATTCAGGGGCAGAACTTAATGAAGTTATAGGTGATTCAAATTTGAACCGGCCGGCAGAAGGCAGTTCAAATTCATTAAATTTGGTCCAGATGTGCTGAGATTTATTAAGATACAGTCCAAGATTATTATTTCCGGCACTTTTGTATAAAGTTTTTAAAGTTTTGATTATCGAATAATTTTGCTATAATTTGTTGATGAATAAAAATATTTAGTTCTGAATTTTGGGACATTCTATTAAACTACAAAACGTTTATTATTATCTTTAGAACTTTGAAGGATTTTTTGTGACAAAAATTAGAGATTATTCTGGAATTTCCCATTAAATTAATTCTTAAAGAGACTGTAAGCGTAAATACAAGTGACCCTTCATTAAAATATAGCAATGCCCGATTCACAATGGTACCCTTAAAAACTATATCTAATCAAGTCTGAATTAGATATCCATGTTTTAAAACTGATCATTTTCAGTTGTGGTTGCACTAAGAAAGTGACTTTCAAATTTATACTGCGGCGAAAGACCATAGCACTCTCAGTATTGATCAGATTAAGGTTTCAAGGGTACCGTTGAGAATCAGGACTTGTCATCTGTGCATGAGAGGTCGCTTGAAATTATGCTTATTATAGCTCTTTTAAGATTACTTTTTGGTACAGGTGGGTTACTGTTCGGTGTCTGCAATGACATGAACTGCATCATTTTTGCCGGTACAACTGCATTGCTCTGCCTTGTATGTATTGTACTGCTTGTACTTGCATTACGAGCTAGACAGGTTAGCATATTTCAAGGTGGGGTTGGATAGGTTTAGCGTACACCTAGACTTAGATCTCGAAACTTCATGAAAGTGTCAGACAGTTTTGTAGATACAAAAATTGTGTTAAGAAATATTATTTTATGTGGTTTCTTTACATTCTCTTTTTGTTTTCTGCTTTTTTAAATTAAAATCTACGCAAATGTATACACCCCAAAAAGAAAACTCGGGAGTTTTGTTCAACGATACTCTCTTAAATTTCCAGTATTAGGACTGCTAAAGACTTTGTTTACAAATTGTTGTTTGTTTACTTTAAGCCTGAAACATTATAAACCTCAAATAGATTATCAAGTACAATAGGTGGCAACAGAGAAATAACCAATTATACACGACGTCACAAGTGTCAAATTTAACAAGAAAAAACCGAAATTTTCTCACATTAGTTGACAATCTACACTCTACATTCCTAAAGTCCACGGTAAAATGCACAAAAACATTATCAACCTCAAATAGATTATCAAGTGAAATAGGTGGCAACAGAGAAATGGACCGTTGATACACTATGTCTCTAGTGTCCAATATAACAAGAAAAACGAAATTTTTTCATATTTGTTGACATGTTTTCCAATATTAAATAAAAAAGTGTAAAAAACAGAAAAAATAACACATAAAATTGCTCTTATTTTACTGTAAGATAAGCACTTTATTCTAAAATTATCACTATTTTTGATAATTTTGTCGGACAAAAAAAACTGAATTGACACTTGTGACGTCAGAATACAGCTGTACTGAGAGTGTACAAATTCTACGTTGCCATCTATTGTACTATAGACGACTAGAAACTATTTAATTTAATTTAATTTAATGATTTTACAAACTATAAAAACACGTTTGGACATTAGAGAAACCCACAAACCCGATTTAATTTTGCTTTCGTTTGATATGTTTGAACACGGAAAAGGATAATTACAACTGCAGTATGCGATAGAAGTTGTTATTTTGCAATTGAATGCAGAAATAAATATAAAAATGCTAAATTTAGAGACGTCTGTATTTTTCTGCCTTTTACATTCATAATTTGCAAAACTAAACTTTAAATGGGTCATTTAATTCAACGATCTTTTTGGGCTCATTTGCAATAAAAGGCAAAAAAAAAAATGCTAACTGATATTAAGTTGGAATAACATTATATCGCCAAACAAATTCAACATTATCAAAATGTTTGATAATATTGTAAATTCAAAATTCAGTTAATAATGTACATATTATGGACAGCAACTGTATAATTCAGTTAATAATGTACATATTATGGACAGCAACTGTATAATTTTTGTTTATAGAAGAGAAAATATGAGAGACCTAAGTCTATCCAACCTGGAGACTTGTTTTTTGGATGAAAATTTCAAATATCCTGTAAGAATTATATAAAAAAATAATTTAAATAAATGTTCGAAAAAGTAGTGAATGCACGGTAATTAGGTTTTAGATAATGTATCTCGATGTTTTTAAGGTTTAAAAAAGGAAGAAAAATGAATATCAGAAAGGAAGGTTTAGAAAGGTAGAAAAAGAAATCAGAAGAGAAGGTTTAGAAAGGTAGAAAAAAGAATATCAAAAAGGAAGGTTTAGAAAGGTAGAAAAAAGAATATCAGAAAGGAAGGTTTAGAAAGGTAAAAAAAGAATATCAGAAAGGAAGGTTTAGAAAGGTAAAAAAAGAATATCAGAAAGGAAGGTTTAGAAAGGTAAAAAAAGAATATCAGAAAGGAAGGTTTAGAAAGGTAAAAAAAGAATATCAGAAAGGAAGGTTTAGAAAGGTAAAAAAAGAATATCAGAAAGGAAGGTTTAGAAAGGTAAAAAAAGAATATCAGAAAGGAAGGTTTAGAAAGGTAAAAAAAGAATATCAGAAAGGAAGGTGAAGAAAGGTAGAAAAACTGTGATTTTAATAAATTTTCATAGAGCAAAGTAAATACATTTTTCAACGGTTTTCCAGAATTGTAAACTTTATACTAAAACTTTTTCATTTTGCTTAATTACAGAGCGTACAAAAACAATCATCTCAATAATTTTCCTTGATTTTAAAGAAGAAGATATGAAAATAATTGCGATGTAGCAAAAACGGTTGTAGAGGGTTACCCAATACTCAATATTACCCAAGACGATCCTAATTACAACACTTTTTGTCTTCTACGCGATAACCTAGGCTATAACTGACAAAACAACAAAGAAAAATAATTTTAATATCTTGTTTTTGTTCAAAATAACAAACATTTTGTTCGAAAATTACGAAATTTTTTTTAAAATCACGAAATTTTTTTAAAATTACGAAAATTTGTTTCAAAATGACGAACATTTTGCTTTAAATGATGAACATGTTAAATATTTGTGAGAAATCCCAATCATATAATTTGATCGGGATTTTAAACAAAATGTTCGTAATCTTTAAATGCTTTTATATGATCGATATTTAGAACATGATGTTAGAATTTATGTAACACTATCTATCGAATTCTTACATTCGTCATTGAAGTCATTTGAACAGTCTTGCCAGGGTAGATGGGAGGTAAAACTGGCGAAGGTATAATAAATCGTCCAAGCTAATAACAGAATCCAAATATCATTCAGATTATTTTTTCAACTAAATTATAATAAACAAAAAACTCCCTGACTAGTGAAAGAGCTAAAAATAAGTTTTCGAGCATCATTGCGCAACTATTAGATGAACGCAGCATTTTATATTTAATTAAAACTATATAATTGTCAGTTTTAATTTCGAATTCCAATTATGTGAAGTTTTTAATTCAAATTGCAAAATCTTTTTAATGGGAGTATATTTAGAGTATAAAAAGGGTCATATTTAGAATATAAAAAGGGTCATATTTAGTGGGTATTATGGATCATATTTAGAATATAAAAAGGGTCATATTTAGTGGGACAAAAGGCTCATATTTAGTGGGTAAAAAGAGTCCTATTTAGTGGATAAAAAGGGTCATATTTTATAGTGGGTTAAAATGTTCATAGTTAGCGGGTTAAAAGGGTAATATTTAGTAGGTAAAAAGAGTCATATTTAGCGGGTAAAGAGAGTGATATTTAGTAAGTAGAGGTTTTAATTAAAATTGCAAAATCTTTTTAATGGGATGGTTCATCTTTTTGTCAGAAAATTATAATGCGGAGAATTTTATATTTTTCACCAGATTAAATTGGGGGGTCAAGACAAGACAAGACAAGACAAGACAAGACAAGACAAGACAAGACAAGACAAGACAAGACAAGACAAGACATGACAAGAGCACTGACCTTGAATACAGGAGATAGGTGAGCGTATACAGATACAGGGCCTAAGGCTGAATACTGCCCGAGATGAAGTTCCATCAAAAAACACGGAACTCCTGGACAAAAATACAATTAAAGAGAATGTACGCGTAATTATAAGGGGCCCTTTATTTTTTAAAAGGTATGTTCGATTAACAAGAGTACCCTTTAAATCTTGCTGGAAATAATCATTTCCTTAAACCGATATGAATTAATTATCCACTCTCTATTTAAAATGTACGTATACAGTCCCCTTAGTTTTATATTGACAAATGTAATTAACTATAGTCTGTAGTATTCTTATCTAATATTCATCATGGAGACATGCATCATCAGATGTTAAAAGTATTACTGCGCATATATATAAATATTGATATTTAGCTTTGAAATCAGAGAAAGTCTCGTTTAATGTTAAAATTTAAATTGATCAACATTTTCTTAATATCTATAAAATCTTAAAATACATTAAACATGATTTCAAGTGAGCCAATACGATTCACAACAATTCCCTTGAAACTTGAAACATATATCTGACCATTAATGTGGAATATAATGTTGCTTTCTACTGTTTAATTCTGACAATTCCGACATTTTTTTGTGCAGTAGAAATGCTCAAGTCCCTTTTGTAGAGAACCTACAAGTATCTTGCTTTCCAAACTATAAGATTGATTTCATACTTGATCAGACACAACTTTGATTGGCAAAGTTTTCAATCAAGAATTGCATGAAGGGTCACTTGAAATTACGCTTAGAAAAGCCCTTGCTTACCTATAACGGCCAGCATAATAAAGTATGGTATAAGAAAAGCTCCCCCACCGTGTTTAAAGCACAAGTATGGAAATCTCCAAACATTTCCTAAACCTAGAGAAAAAAAAAATTAAAATACATATATTTAATAAAGGTTGGATCACAACTTTTTTCTTTTATGCCAAATTATACCGTTATATGCCGTATGTAATTATATTCAAGTTCCACCTTCATAAATTGTAATAATTTAAAGAAATGTTCTTTATCTTTAAAGACTCGTCCTTTCGGGGTAACCCTGTATATAATTTTATTATTAGTTTGCTTTATTTTTGTACACAAAAAGTGGCCCTGGACATCGCGGTTTTCACTTTCCCTGAGGAAGGGGTTTGGTCTCCATACCTTTACCCCCCCCCCCCCCTTTTCATGTGTAAACGCCACTTAATGGAAGAAATTGATTAAACATGTGTTTTATTTATCAATTTCAAGGCAATTTTACAAATTTATAAAATAATTGATTTGACTTTTTTTGGTGAACCAACTAGATTTTAAAGATTCTTCGTTGCGACTCCTTAAACTACGGAATAGGAAGCAAGACATTTTTTCAAGCCGATAGTTTTCCTCGTAATCTAAATTTAACTTATGACTATTTATCTAAATTCATAATTCGTCTTCCTATTCTGCAGTTGACCGGGTCTCACTTTAATATTTACCAACAGCATATCCAAGACAAGAGAGGAGAAAATCCAGCTTTCCGCTCCAGGTCCCCCTGTCATCTTCATCCTCAATATCCTCCTTAACCTCAAGTTCTTCTTTTCTTATATCAATCCTCTCCTAATATTTGAATTCATTTATTCATCCTCATCCTCCTTAACCTCTAGTTCTTCTTTTCTTATATTTGTTTGACTAAAAAGCTACAGATTTAAAAACTACATTTTATAAAAGCCCTTGAAAAATGCATGTAGAAACATCATGTGTCACACTTTGATATTTGTTTAAAACAAAAAATAAAAATTTTATCATTTTTTTAACCCTTCTTCAGGCATTTTTTCACCCTCCCTAGCACCCAAACTATTAAAGTTATCGGTTTATTTTTTTTTCTTTGATCTGACCAGGACAAATTGGGCTATCAACATGCATTTCTACCCTTTACCTATTCTCTAAGGTCTTTTTGTATGGTGGGGTTCGCCAAACGCCCCCCCCCCTAGCCTTTATAGGGTTGACCTCCAGTTAACTTTTTCTGATTGCCTCCTCTGTCTACTCATTTGTCATTTTCTTTTTTGGCGCAATTGGGGAATTTTCTAAAAGGGGGGGAGGAGAATAGCTTATAATTTATAGTTGTGGAGTGAAAGTAAATATATAATGGAATCTTTAATTTAATGTTTTATTTAGAGAATTATTAAATGTTCCCTATTTTTCATTGTTTACATTATACAATGGGTTTATTTCAGTTTTCACGACCGTCCTCGCACCGCACCCCCTAATATTCAAAACTCTTTAACAACTTCATAATTTGTATAATTCGAATTGATTTTAAAAACAACCATAATGTCCTGTATTAATATCACATATGAATTAAATTCATACGCAATATATGTATGAAAATATATTTAAATTCTTCTATGATTTTGCACATCCTGTAATCATGGATATTATATAAATAATTAAAAATGTACTGTATTGTATTGAAATAAAAATGTCATGTTGATAAAATGCATGCTAAACAATTGATGTAAAAGTTCTAACCTTCTCCTCCATATTATTATTATTGTTCGATTCCATTTTATTAAAAACAGTTAAAATTCAAAATCTCAGATTTTACATTACTCGAAAATAATTAGAATTTCTCTGAAACAAATTGTATTTATTAATCAAAAATGAATTCCTAATTTAATTAGCATTTATCCCAAAACATTAAATTTTAAACGTGATGTTTATTGTTTAATATTAACAAGTATTATAAATAAAACAAATAAAACAAAACTGTTTTTTTATTGAAAACCATGAAATTTCACTGACAGCTAATTTACAATACGTTTGTTTTTATTGAAATTGCAGCAAACTTTTCTGCGTTACCCTGTACCAAAGTGTGTACTAAAGTATATAACGGAAATGCAACTTTTTTAACAACAATTGAGGAACTTTATTTAGCGTAACTCTTTAACCATGTTGAATCCGTAGCTAGGTAAAGCCCGACATAAACTGACACTATTGCCCCCGCAAAACTGCGTACGGTTAGGTATACGCAACACAAACACACACTTCTGGTTTTTTTGTGAAAGGTTTAAAAGCATATTAATAAATTACTGATTATCAATAAAACCATATTTTTAAAGTAAAAATTACATTGACCAAGATGAAAAATCTTTTATCATTCATATGCAAAAGTATACATATACAAGTATTTATTTTTTAAAACACGCTTTGACATAATATATCCGAGGGGGTGTATGCATATTTTAAAAGTGCGCTGGACTAACGTTGTAGAAAGAGTATACGACGAAAAGGAGCATTTTTAGCGGGTAATGAGAGTCATATTTGGCGGGTTAAAAGGGTCATATAGAGCGGGTAAAAAGGGTCATGTTCGGAAAATGGGTAATTTTTATAGGATAAAAAAAGTCAAATTAACTGGGTAAAAAGGGTCGTATTTGGCGGATAAACACTTCATATTTAGTGGGTAAAATGAGTCGTATTTATTTGGTAAACGGGATTATATTCAGTTGCGTAAGAAGGGTCATATTTAGCAGGCAAAAAGGATAATTTTTAGTGGGTAAAAGAGTCCTATTTAGCGGGTAAGATTCATATTTAGTGAGTATCATGGATCATAGTTAGCGTGTAAAAAGGGTCATATTTAGCGGGCAAAAAGGGTCATATTTATTAGGTAAAAAGAGTCATATATAGCGGGTAAAGAGAGTCATATTTAATGAGTAACAGTAGAAAGAGTCATATTGATTGGGTAAAAAGGGTCATATTTAATATTTGAAACGAGTCATATTTAGCGGGTAAAAAGGGTCATATTTGGTAGGTAAAAGGGTTATATTTAGTGGGTAAAATTACTCATATTTAACGGGTAAAAAGGGTCATGTTTAGTTGCATAAAATCGGTCATATTTAGCGGGTACAATGGGTCAAATTTATTGGGTAAAAAGAGTCATATTTAGTGGGTAAAACGGGTTATATTCAGTGGGTAAAAAGGGTAATATTTAGTGGGTATAATTGGTCATATTTAGTAGGTAAAACGGAAATATTAAGTGGGTATAATGGGTAATTTTTAGAAGAATTTTTACTGTCTGATTTCCAACATTCTCAGAAAAACAATTCTATGAAAGTAATTTTTATTTCATCTTTCTCCTGTAAAAATATTATATGTTTTACGTTATGCATTAAGATGATGTAAAAAGGTTAGCTGGAAATTGAGTTTTTTCCACACTAAAAATCCCTTTATGTTTGCAATCTAATGAAGTAAACCTTTTTTTAATCCAATCTAATAATAAATATTTCGAAATATCTAAGGTTTATGACATCGGGTTAAAAAGGTGTTAAAGTCCTAGAGTTTGTGACAAAATCTAAGTTCCTTTGTTCAAGAAACTCGGAGCAAAATTGTTATCATTGACATTATCAATAAAAGAGCGTTTGTATGAAATCTCAATTTGTTAACATTGTTTTTTTTACAAAAATTCTTATTAATAAGAAATCTTAAAACAAACTGAACATGTTTGTTTTGTATGAGACGTGCTCAGTTAGGAGGACACTTCAGCTCCTTTAACCACTGGATTTTCATAAAACGATCAGTATGGTATACAGGGTTCAATACCAACATTTAGAATTGCTCTGAAGTAATAATGTTGGACCAATTGGTTAAAGTTGCACGATCGAATACTTTTTTTATATTTATAGGAATCTTCTTCTTTTTCAACTTTTAATTGTAGCTCTTTCTGTATTATTATTATTATTATTTAACATTTATTTATCTGTCAAACATCTTCTCTTTGTACAAAATAAACAATAAAAAAGATTGCGGATTCTTAAACTTTTGGAAACAAATTTTTGTTATTTTGAGCATCCATAAACCTACTCTGGGTTCATGTTTTGGGCCCGAATAGTTCAGCCGTTTATTGGATACAAACGGACAGACACCCAAACTAACAGACACCCATATAAGCAAAGTGTATAAGTATAGATTAAATGATGTATACAGTCATTTCAGGTGGTATTATAACGTTTTTTGTATCATTAAAATTGCACGCTTGATCTCAATATTCAATGTAGACACTTTTAAAGTTAAAATATGTTATGTTATTTAAATTAAAATTAAAACACGTTATTTGAATTTAAACTTAGTGCTTTGCCTTGATCATCTTGACCATGCATAAAAGGGATTCAGGTTTCCACAATGAACTCAAATCAGATTTCAATGCCTCTTTTTATAAAAAAAATGCAAATAATAATATTGTTTGTCAAATGTTGAAATGAATGAATGAAAATATATAAAAACGTATTTGCTTCAATGATTCTCAACTGAATTTGTTTAACCTATTTATATTTTCAAACTAGAAAACTGATAAGGGTAGAAGTTACGGCCCACAAAATATTTTCAAATTGAAAAATGCAAAAATAAAATAAAAATGCAAACCATTTTACTCATGTTGTAGGTCTTCAGTTTTTCATTTCACTCTATAGAAAGATTCCATTTTAGGTAAAACTCTGAAAAAAACTATTTTTTTTGTTCGTATTTTTGAAAAAAAATGGTAACTCTTGTATTTTATAATTATTGTTAAAAATTATTAACTCTTATATCTTATAATTATTGTTAAAAATTGTTAACTATTGTATTTTATAATTATTCTACTTTGGTATCTGATTATCTATGCAAGAAAACTTGTTTATAACAATATGAAGAAAGAGAAAATTTCCACAAAAAAAATTATGCGCTCTTAGCTGAAAACTTTAGAATGGTGGATATCAGGATTAAGGCTTAAACCACTCTTTTTCTTAATCACGAGTTTAAATATTTCTTGATTAATGCATGACTTTAAACTTCAGATTAATTATTCGTCGGGATATCTGGATATTTCATTCTTAAGTTTTCAGCTCTGTTAATTCTTAAAAATTGTTAACTCTTCTATTTTATAATTATTCTTAAAAATTGTTCACTATTGTTTTTTTTATAATTATTGGACGATATAGGAAGAATCCATTTTAGGTAAATCTCTGAAATTTTTTTTTTTCTGAATATATTCATTAATGTGTACTACTTTATTCAAATACAATGGAAGTTGAATTGAAAAAAATATTTCACATTGTTAACTCTTATATTTTATAATTATTGAAAAAAACAAATTTATTTTTATTTCAATCGTCAAAACTTTTATTTTCAAAATTCTTTAAATCCATTATACAAATAGGAAGGGTGTACGTAAAGGGTGTCCCACATAATTGCGGATCGTTTATTGCTCTAAATTGCAATTTTTTCTTTACTTGGATCATTTCCAAATTTGTATTAGCTTAATATAAATATTTGCATGCTAAAAATATTAGTTTTTTCGAGTATTATGTGCGTATTTTGGCGTTGAAGCTTGGGGATAATATAATATAATATGGGACGCTCTGTATGTTAAGTGATCTATTGATTGCTTGTATATATTTTACACTTGCGTTCTTAATAATAGTGCAATCAAAACAAGTGCACCCTATTTTGAATCAGAAAGTATTGATAACTGAAAAATTAACCATCTAATATTCTTACAGAAGGTTTCTTTAAATATTTCTTCGACTTCTCTTACATTCTTGCATGCACATTCTTGCTTTTTTCCCGATTATACTTTCTTCTACGTTTCATTCTTTCTTTCTTTCGTTCTTTCTTACTTTTTTCTTTCTTTCTTTCTTTCTTTCTTTCTTTCTTTCTTTCTTTCTTTCTTTCTTTCTTTCTTTCTTTCTTTTCTTTCTTTCTTTCTTTCTTTCTTTCTTTCTTTCTTTCTTTCTTTCTTTCTTTCTTTCTTTTATTCTTTCTCTCTCTCTCTCTTTCTTTCTTTCTTTCTTTCTTTCTTCCTTTCTTTCTTTCTTTCTTTCTTTCTTTCTTTCTTTCTTTCTTCCTTTCTTTCTTTCTTTCTTTCTTCCTTTCTTTCTTACTTTCTTTCTTTCTTTCTTTCTTTCTTTCTTTCTTTCTTTCTTTCTTTCTTTCTTTCTTTCTTACTTTCTTTCTTTCTTTCTTTCTTTCTTTCCTTCATTCTTTCTCTCTCTATTTCTTTCTTTTTTCTTTTTTCTTTATTTCTTTCTTTCTTTCTTTCTTTATATTTTTATTTCTTTCTTTCTTTCTTCTTGGTTTCTCTATATCTTCACTTGTTGTCACTGAAATAAGATCACAATACCACAAACTATCTGTGTTTATATCTAGCCCTGTAAATAGCATGATAGTGGAGATGTGTACGGTATGCCTAGATTCGACCAACTACCTGAATTACTAAACTGCCTGTAGTGAATATGCCTCGGCTTCCACGGAGAACACCGGATCATGTTTCATGGCATTTATAACATTTATTGTCACATCATGTCAAATTAATTAGTTCTAGAAATGATAGATTTTAGAGTCATCATAATGAAGGGAGTGGCCGGTACTCTGCAAACATAACAGATGGAGAAGGTCAAATCTATTAGACATTACTGGTACCACTTTGTGACCTTATAGCTTCTTTAGTTTTCATTCTACATATCATGAGAAAAGAAATTTTTCCGAATACAAATTAGAATTAAAAAAATTGTTGTTCTTTGCAGTAGCTTTTCAATGAGAGGAGTTATGATTGAAAAAATAAAATATTTTAATCTTACGTGAAATTTGCTTTAGTTTAACGTAGTTTACGTTTAAAGGGTTGTTAAAGTTAAAGCGCAATATTGAAAAACCAAATTTTAGAAACTTTGTAAAAAATTTTGAGTAGAAGATCTAACTTTAATTTTAAACTATTTCCCAATAATGTTCCGTCCGGTGAAAATACACAAGATGCAAAATATTCGATTATTCGATTTCGTCATTTAATTTTTAATATTTTGTTAAAAACTTTGTATTAAATGGACTGTTGAAGTAATTCAATTGAGTCGTCATTTTGTATGTCTGGTTAATTTTGGTTTCACTATAAAGGGTCTTGCGCATTCCTAATTAAGAAGCATTGGAGGAAACTGTCAATATTTTACATTTTTCAAGGTAGAAAAATGACGATATCTTCCCAAATGTTGATCAGTTAATTGTGTTGGTTACCGTTGTGATGTCTCTCTTTTAAATGGACTGAAACGGTAACGATATCTTCCCATTTACTGATCAGCTAAATGTCTTGGTACCGTTGTGAATCTAAAATGTTCTTCTTTAAATTACAGTCCATTCCACAAACAGAGCAAGATGTTAAAAAATATCAATTATAAATGATGATAACTTTGTAACAGTAGCAAACTTCAGATAAACGCAAATTTAAATAAGAGCAAAAAAATTTAAAAATTTAGCACAGTTAATATTTTATATCTCCTGAATGTTGACAAAATTCTGTAACTGCCCCTCCCACTGATGACATGCCCCCTCTGGTTGCCTTTTCTCTAGTGATATTATCTATTTCATGAATGCATAGCTTGAGAGGAAGGAAGAAAGGCAGACATTAAATTACTTCATGGGAACAAAATCATTTCAGTTCAATTTTTGAATAAATAGAAATATACAGGGTGTCTTAGAAAACGGGGAATTAGGGTCTACAAGCCCGTTTGTAACCCTTGTATGTAACCCAGTTTTTTTAGACACCCTGCACAATGATTAAAGAATTGGGATAACATGACGGAATCATCTTATCTAAACACCCTTAATACTGTATTACCTAATAAATGTGGAATAACTGTCGTCTCTGTTCTTACTTTCAACAATCGCTGATTTGGTAGTTTCATATTTCTATAAATTACATAAATTGCAAATTATTTAGTGATAAACTGCAAAATGAAAAGACAGAAAGAAGACGATGATAGTTGTGCTGTTATGGTTACTTTATAAATCATACAGGGTGTCCCACGAAACATGACAATTGTCGAATAGTTTTGAATGTCAGCTTCCACATACTGTATTAGATCTTAAAGACTTTTTGCAGTTTATTTCTTTAAAAAAATGTTTAACTCATATATATTTGACTGTAAAATCAATTTTACTACATTATAACTGTCATATAAAAAATGTTATTAGTCTCTTCAGCATCAAACAACTTCGCAAATTAAGACATTTTAAACTATTCACCAACGGTCATATTTCGTGGGACACACTGTACATCCGAAAAATTAACTGTACTTTCCGGTAGAAAAAAACTACAGTTTAATCCAGAACTTCGGAGTCATCGATGGATTTATAAAATGTCGTTTTCTTTAGAAACCTACTAATAATAGAATGCTGCAGATATTTAGTATTTTAATTAAGATCTTTAAAAGAGTTCCGCATGATATGTAGTTTTTTAATTGAACTCTTTAAAAGAGTTCCGCATGATATGTAGTTTTTTAATTGATATCTTTAAAAAAGTTCCCGCATGATATGTAGTTTTTTTAATTGAGCTCTTTTAAAGGAGTTCCCGCATGATATGCAGGTTTTTAATTGAGTTCTTTAAAAGAGTTCCCACATGATATGCAGGTTTTTAATTGAGATCTTTAAAAGAGTACCCACATGATATGCAGGTTTTTAATTGAAATCTTTAAAAGAGTTCCCACATGATATGCAGGTTTTTAATTGAAATCTTTAAAAGAGTTCCCACATAATATGTAGTTTTTTAATTGAGCTCTTTTAAAAGAGTCCCCCCATGATATGCAGGTTTTTAATTGAAATCTTTAAAAGAGTTCCCACATGATATGCAGGTTTTTAATTGAGATCTTTAAAAGAGTTCCCGCATATTTATCTTTTTTTACAACTATACTGAGATTTAGGTATACCGTATAATCGTTTAAAACCCTTTAAAAATCAATTGTCATAACGACATTTTAAAAGTTCTTGCGATGTTTCCGAAGTTTTAGGTAAAACTGTAGTTGAATGTTTTTAATATTACTCCCAGAAACTGCAAAGATCTGGAGGTATCCAACTGGATCTTTCTCGGGCATTTTTAACCACAATATAGTTCTGCTAGACATTTTTATTTAGATACAATTATTTTTTATCTATACTACATAAAAAGCATTAAAGATGGTAACAAATACAAAAGCTAGTTTCATTTTTAAAACTATTTCTTTCCTCCAGTGATAAGAACACAAAACTCCTCCATTCTCTTTCTCATTCTTCCGTTCTCCGATCTACCTTGCTGTGCTCCCCTTACATCGGGCCTCACCAGCTGATCATCGGGCTGCTGACCGGCAGCTGCAATATTGCCCGCAGACTGACCGGTCCCGGAAGCAGGTATCCCTGAATTTAGTTTGGACTTTGGCGATTTTGTCAAAATTATGCAATGCAAATTTTACATAAACAAATTGTCATTTGGTAAGTTGGGACAGAACAAAAAGGGTAAAATTTAATATTTATTTACAAAAAATATTAGAAAGCGGCTTTGAATTGTAAAAAAAGGGTCAAGTCCAAATTTAATTCACAGCGTGTTAGAAAAAATCGTTTTTTAGCTTTTCAATCTTCAAATGACTCTTTACCCATCCTTGTGTACAACTCAAGTTTCTTTATGAGAAGTTGACTTTGGTCGCCGATAATTTTATCCATCACGTTCCCGCCAACCAGGATAAACAGAGTTGGGAACGCGGCAATGGGATAGTCGTCTTTGATAGCAGGAACCTAATCAATCAATGATATACCACGAGCAATGTCAAGCAAAGGATTTAATTTAAATTGCGACTTAAAACTCTTTAAATAGAACGACATAATAATTAGATTAGTTTTAAATGACACATAGTTAATAGGGTTTCCAACGTAATAGATTATTCTGTTATGCGTAATTACGTGCAGTTACGCATAATAATTTTCATTTCGTGTATTTTCGCAGGATTACGCGTAATTGGGGAAATATCCATTTCGGGAAATTACGGCGTAATTTCGCGTATTTTATACGACGTAATTTCGCGAAATTTCGTAATGATTACGTGTAATAAGCGAAACTATAATTATGCGTAATTACGACATAATTTTGCGCAATTTATACAACGTGCTTTCGCAAAATTTCGTAATTATTTCGCGTAATAAACGAAACTATAATTACGTGTAATTACGGCCTAATTTCGCGTAATTTCTACAAGGTAATTTTGCGAAATTTTGTATTAATTACGCATAGTTAGCAAAACTTCAATTTCGTAAAATTACGCAGTAATTTTGCGTAATTTCTGCAAAGTAATTTTGCGAAATTTTGCAATAATTTTGAAGTTTTAACTTTTAATTTAAATAAAACAACTAACTTACAAGGAAAATAATGTCACGCAAGTTGAATCAGAAATTTCAGCCAATACTATGTTGATGTAATTTTCACGTTCGACAACTAAAAAGTTTAACAAAGGGCCAATTTATTTTTATCAAAAAATACATAATCTATAAAATTTTAATTTTCAACGAATTGTTAATATTTCAACCTACTTTTGAAAAAATAACAATAAAATCGTCAAAATATTTTTGACATGGTTGTAGCAGGCATATCCTTACACATACTGTCCCGCTATAATTATTTCCGAGAATTAATATGTTTATTACGGAATTGTTTCGTATTATGTAATTTCGCGTAATTACACCTTAATTACGCGAAACTAAACTTTCTTTCGTAAACGTAATAAACGGGTAACTACGCGTAATGCTCCTGCGTAAGTGAAAGAAAGTGTTACGCGTAATTACGCGTAACGCAATTACGACTGGAAACCCTAAGTTAAGACGACTTTTCCAATTAAGTTATGATTTCAAACAAACCTTTTTTCACATGTTTATAAGTGTTTAAAAGCTTTAAATTGAAAACTTGTAATAATCAAAACTGAAATCAAAACTTGTCTTCATTGTAGTGATGTATATACGACGACGACTTTATGTAATTATTGATCTTTAATGCATGGCCTTAGTTTAAGGCATTGCATAGCAAGAAGTGCGCACATAAATTGCTTTAAACTATTTCTCTTCAACTTGAACTTAGGGTTGTTAATAGTTTTTGAAAGCGATTGTTAAACGATCGTTTTTTGTTTCGTTTTTCAATCGTTTTCAAAAACCATCGTTTTTAAAAACGACCTACTTGTTTTGAACTTTTAGAAAACGAATAACGATCATTTTAGAAAACGATCGTTTTTTTAAAAAACGATTTGTGACCGTTTTTTACACGATTGTTTTTTTAAAACGATCACTTTTGAAAATACGATCGTTTTTGAAAAAAAAATTATTGACAATTATGTTAACGATCGTTAACGAAGGGTCGTTGTTAACGAACGTTATCGAAGGGTTGTCGTTAAAGATCGTTAACGAAACTACGAACTTTACAAAAACGGTCGTTTTTGGATAAACAATCAATTTTGAAAAAAATTACATGCAACTTTATTGTCGTCTTACATGAAGTTAAAAAGTTGTGGGGGAGCTAAAACTTCTCGGTATTTTCTTAAAAACTACTCAATTATAAGTACAGATGCCCTTCAGGTCGGTTTCCTCTCTTGTTAACGATCGTTAAAGAAGGTTCGTCGTTAACGATCGTTAACGAAACGACGATCGTTTAAAAACGACCATTGTTGAAAAACGAACTTTTTGATTTTTCGATTTTCGATTTGTCATTGTCGTTTTCATAACGAAACGATCGTTTTTCAAAAAAAATGAAAACGTTAACATCCCTACTTGAACCGCGCGCACAAGAGAAGTGGTCCTGTTCTTCGACCTACGTATTTTAACAAATTGCATAAGAATAATGAGTTTAAAAACTGTTTTAGGGATCAATAACAACCAAATCGCCAATGATAGGTTTAGTTTCTTTTTAAATTATTAATTTCAAATGTTTGCTAAAAACAGACAGTAAGGTTTATCATAATTCTTTTTGATTTTTCTATATTTCACAATAAATGCAATGGAATTACCTTTTCAAAGCCCACGCTAAGAAAGATTACATCGTTCATATCCTTGGCAATACTGTCCAGCTTAGGTTTCATTTTAGTACACACCTGAATACAATTATATACAGGTTGTCTTATTAAACAGTAAAGTAAAGTTGTATTTGTTAAACACAATTATATAAAGGTTGTCTCATTAAACAGTAGAGTAAAGTTGTATTTTGTAAAACACAATTATATACAGGTTGTCTCATTAAACAGTAGAGTAAAGTTGTATTTTGTTTAATACAATTATATACAGGTTGTCTCATTAAACAGTAGAGTAAAGTTGTATTTTGTAAAACACAATTAAATACCTATTGCCTATTAAAAAGTAGAGTAAAGTTTTATTTTTTAATACAATTATATACAGGTTGCCTCATTAAACAGTAGAGTAAAGTTTTATTTTGTAAAACACAATTATATACAGGTTGTCTCATTAATCAGTAGAGTAAAGTTGTATTTTGTAAAACACAATTATATACAGGTTACCTCATTAAACAGTAGAGTAAAGTTTTATTTTTTAATACAATTAAATACAGGTTGTCTCATTAAACAGTAGAGTAAAGTTTTATTTTTTAA